ATTTGGGACAGCATGTACTTTTGTTAAATTTAATCTAATGGATAGATTAATAAATGTTAAATGGGTAGATACTACAATTAAATTTAACAAAAAACATGTCCCAAGTCACCTACATTTATGATACTTGTTAAGTTTAAAATATTTTTCTTTATAATTTTATAAAAATATATCACATGTGAATGCTATTTATTGATTTTACATTTAAGTGAAATGATTTATATTTCCTTTTATTGAGATATAAACAAACTTGTGATCATTTTGTATTTGATTATTATCTATATAAAAAAGAAAATGTTAACAATTGAACATATGTTTATTAATGATTTTTTTATTGTATTCACAATGAGTATTTTTATTAATGATAAGAAATACAGCAATTTATATATGTCTTGTATAACATATTTTCCAGTGATATTGTACAGTAAACATAACGTTGGTTCTATATCAATTCTATTGTCATTTTTCATTGGGTATTGCCTATAATGGATTATATAAATAGATTTGTACCAACATCCGTGCCTGTTGAATTTAAAGAATCTGTTGAAAATACGATACGCAAGATGCAGGAGCATGCCAGAAAATACCCAGACAGAAAGTACGTACATATAGACATAATTGTACACTAAATCAGTATTTTTTAATTGAACCATTTCTTGCACCATTTGCCTTTTTTTCTTTATGTATCGAGAAAAGGAGAAAAAAAATTGTACAAGAAATTTAACTGAAAAAATAGATGTATTGCAATTATATGGAGTCATGTAAATACAGTTTTTAATAAGTAATCAACATCATATAGGATTTTTAAGTATTAAATTTTTTTACATTAAATTAATAATATTAGTCAATTGTGTTGTCATTTTAAATTTGTTTATGTATTTCCATAAATTAGAATTTATTAACATTAAATAGACCTTACGATTGGGGCCTAGAGAATTTTGAAATTGGATCGCCATTAGGGAGAGGAAAGTTTGGCCGTGTATATTTAGCCAGGGAGAAGACTACGCAATATATGATTGCCCTGAAGACATTATATAAAGTTGAATTGATGAAAGGACGCGTAGAAAAACAAGTATTGCGAGAAATAGAAATACAATCACATTTGAGGTATATATGTATACCATGTATTAAAAAATGTTAAATATTTTCTTCATAATTCTTATCAACTTGTTCATACGTGTTTCCAGCCATCCAAATATTCTTCAACTACTAACATATTTTCATGATAACAAAAGAATTTATCTAGTATTGGAATTTGCTGCCAGAGGCGAATTGTACAAGGAATTGAAACGTCAACCGAACGAGAGATTCAATGAGCACTTGTATGTATTTGTAATTCCAACACATCCATCGTTATGTATAATTTAAAAATTATTCAGTATTTCGTCAGATCTGCCAAATATACCTATCAAGTAGCCGATGCTTTGGAGTATTGTCACCGTTGCGATGTGATTCACAGAGACATAAAACCTGAAAATTTATTACTTACATATAACGGAGATGTAAAACTCGCAGACTTTGGTTGGTCTGTACACGCACCATCCGCAAAGTAAGCACAAAACCCATGTTTTCATTTTTTAAAATAGCACAATGCTTATAATTTCGAAGAAAATATTTATTTAACAAGTTTAATTTTACTGCAAATCGTTTAGATCTGAATCGAAATTTATTCTTTCAGACGAGAAACATTATGTGGAACGTTAGATTATTTACCACCGGAGATGGTAATGGGACAGACTTATGATTTCTATGTTGACCATTGGTGCTTAGGAATTCTTTGTTACGAGTTTCTCACAGGGCAGCCGCCTTTTTTAAGTGGCACCACACAAGAAACTTATGCGAAAATAAAAACTATAACTATACAATGGCCAGAACAGATTAAACCTGCAGCCAAAGATCTTATATCCAAGGTACCATTTGTGCTTTATATATCTCTGTATCAGAATACAAATGATAAAGATTTTTTATTTATAAAAATGTATTTTCGCAGCTGATCAAGAAAAAAAGTTTGGAGCGAATTTCCTTGGCTGAGGTTAAAAGACATCCCTGGATTGTACAACACTACAATCCTTTATCTAAATTGAAAGCTTAAACTAAAAAGGGACATAGTTTTTTTTATCGACTTGACAACATATATTTCATGTTCGACGCTTTTATTGTAATCTTTCTTTTTAAGTTTTTTTAGTTAATAATTTAGATTCGCGTTACGGCCACTTTAAATTGATACCCGTTACATCCAATGCGACAATGTCCACTTCGGTATTAAGAAAATCGCACAAACTCGGTTTAGTTCTGCCGAAATCTCCGTGTACGAATTCTTTTACGTATGTGCCTGCTTGGGTTTTGACATCGAGAACAAAAAATGCGTCAGTACTTTCTACGGTAGTGGACAACAATTCCTTTAGTTCGTGCGGTTTCGCCCAACGCGCGCGCATTTTGTAAATTATACGCGTTCGCGGACTCAATGGTCGTCTGTGCAGCACTCTCAGTGGTGTTCTTTGAATAATTTTAACGTTTTCCAATTCATTCAGATGCTCCAATGGCGGTAAATCGCCACTCACGTCTCGACAGACACATAACGCTCGATAAAACTTTGTTTTAACGTTCTCACCTTCCTTAAGCTTCTTCAAATCAAACCTGGAAGTATATATTCGATACAATTTTCTTATTTAATTGAATTTCTTGTTTTAATCTAATTTTAAATGACTGTTTATCAACGCAATTGTTCTTATTATTTTATTTTATGTATTACTATTTTTTAATCTCATTTTAATTAAATTTTTAAAAAGTATACCTTGAAAGAATCTTTAAATTCGATGTTATTTGAACCTGCTTAGTCGATTGATTGATACTACTGGTCAGACACATCAATAGTTCGTTCGTGATATTCGTCATACGAGGATTCAATAGTTCAATAGCAAATGGTCGGCCACCGTATATGTTTCTGACATCGACGTCTTCTCTTCCTGACGATAAAAATTTTATCGCTGTGCAAACGTAAATATGTCATAGCGTTTTTGTTGAAAAAAAAATTATAACAAAATCAATATAGTCAAAACATACATTCTGCTTTTACCATTTCTGCGATGGGATTGCAGAGCAAGTCTTGCACCGAAGTTTCCACTTTCTTCTCACCGTTTATGAGCCACGGAGTCTGGCTGAGTTTCCTGGAGAGTTTATTGTAACGTCCTGAAATTTTTAAGTTTTAAAGAGATCTCATGCTGCATCGTAAATGATTAGTTTGCTATCATTTAAGTTTATATCGATACCTCCTATGAAGATGCTGCTATGAGAACATAAAACATCGTCAACATGAACGAATGTTTTCGGTACGATTTGCGAGATCGTGAAATGTCGCATGAGTTGCTCATCTGTCATTTCGATCAGTAAAGTATCAACATTCTTCCTACTAAATTTATTATCGTTGCATTTTCTCTTTTTCTGCCTCTTATTATTGCCTCCCTTATGTTCATTTATTCTACAAGTAGAAACAAGTAGAAGTATTCTCAAAATGCATAAAAAGCAATTTTCTCTAATCTAAAGAATATCTATATAATTTATATTATTAATACACATACACAAGTTTCACAGTTTCATTTCTAATTACATGAATTCTTAAAAATATACGTACAGTTCTTTGAATATCATTTCGTCGTCGGCATACATTAAGAGGACTTCGATGAGAAAAGGCGATGGTGTGGACAGATCTGCATGTTTTCCTGTAGCTTGTTCGAGTTGAGGAATTATAAACGATTTCCAAATATCTTTGACATTTTGTAATTTTGTTTTAAGAGTACTTAAGATTGATTCATGAATATCCATCTCTTTGGACATGTAAGCATATAATATGTGTTCTCTCAGCTTTACTGATACAGGAACAGTTAACGCACATGTGAAAGTTATACAGTCATAATCTTTCTCCTTTACTTTTTCTGCTATCTACAAACAATTGAGATTAAACAACAGTGAAATTAAATAGAATGTATATAGAGTTTTGTGTGCGTGTGCGTGGGTGTGGGTGTGGGTGGATACTTTACTTTTGTAACTACGTTCTTTTGTGCTTTATCCTGAAGAACTCCTAAACATGCAATGCAAGTTGTTTCTTCCATAGAAGCATCGTCTTTTATATTTGCATAACTCAGCTATAATTAATATTAAAATATAAGTGTGTCAAATCAAGTTTGTGAACAAAATTATTTTTGTTCTTAATCTTTTTTAAAACAAACTATTTCGTTAATATTCAAAGTTGCTTATTCCTTTTTACGTAAATTGATATTGTACACATTTATTGCAAATTTAATACAGATTTTTATTCAGATTTATTGAAATATGTGAAGAATGATATCGAATGATAACAAATTTAAACAATCATCTTATTGAAATTGATATTCGAGATTAACCATTTCTTTTAACATTTCTTACCTGTGCCGCAAATTCGGAAGGCTTGCAATAACATTCCGACGTGCGGTATCCGACGAAACGAAAACAACATCTCAAACAGCAACCTTGAGATTTTAAAAAGTGAAGGATCTTTCTCTCTTCCTCCGTCGTCACTGTATTCATCTTGATATTAAAATTTAAGAAAATCTTCAATATAGTGATTTCCGCGATACCTAAAACAATATAAAATATTCGCCGGGTAATAGTCTTGATTTAACACATTTCACTGTAGATTATTAGTTGCTTTCCATTTACATCGATTCTCAGATAATTCTCACTTGTGACTAACACTCAGTTAAATGCACATTCCTTTTGCATTCTGACAAGTGAGATTCGACTGAGTTTTACTGTTTTAACCTATAATCTGCACAAGATCAAGACCGTGTGCTTAAGTGATTAGTGAGTTTCGAAAACTCACTTTAAAGTGAGATTATGGACCTATGTTGGAATGTGATAACTTTTTACCAAAGCAAGTAGTGACGTCATTAATCTGATTGTGAGTACAAAATACTCAGCTCATTCTGCTCACTTTAGAGTTTAGACTCAATTTCGCTTGTGTGTAAATGGAAAGCTATTATTATTGTCTCTGCTCATGTTTGTGATTATTTATTTATTTGTGGTAATTACATTAAGTAAACGAAAATACGTAATAAAACAAGATATTCACGCACTTTATAAATTACTTTATAAAGCATTGAAAATATCTGAAAATTGAAAAACTGTCTCTGGAACCGTATAACCTCTCATAACCTCCAAATGTTACTTGACACTTATGTTTATTCGACCGGTTTAAGGAGCATTTACGCAGTTCATAACTGTGAATTTATGGCATAATCGGTAAGTTCAGTACAATGATTTATACAATTTTGTGTTGCCATAAAAGTAAAATTTGAGTTTACTATTGTGGTATGTACAAGCTACATGCATCCGGCAAGTCATTACAAATGAAAGCATTAAAAGTACTTATTGTGTTGAACTTTACGGTGTATAAGTTTACATTTTCCTCGTGTTATGCTCCTTTAACCTTAAAAAGCCGTTCATTTGAATTCCATAATCTCAAAAAGTACTGCAAAAATTCGTTTTAATTAATTTAAAGTATCATCACTGTCCCATCAACAAAAACTAAGGGTTGGTTTCACCAACTCCGATTAATCTAATCGGTCGATTGTTACATTGGAACTGATCAATTGCATTTGCTGTTCAGCAGAATTGACCAATCACGGTTGATACTTAATCGACCGATTAGGTTAATCAGAGTTGGTAAAACCGACCCTGAATATAATTAAGAAAAATGGTTAATATAATCACTTATGTTAAGATTTAAAAAAATGTAAGAAAAAAATTTTTTTCATTCTACTTTTTGCGTTTTTGAACGTAATACTAAAGTATTCATTTACGTGATTTTTTTATTATTGCATTATTACTATTTAAAAAGATACAAAAAATTTAATATACGGTTAAAAAATAAATAAATAAAATATACTGTTAACCCTTAATACATACCTCTGGGTCATTCGTGTCCTGCCCATTTCTTTTTTTTTAAATACTAAGAGCATCTGATCAAACACCGGTCTCTTTTCTATTCCTAAAAAAAAGTTTGGCATTTAGAGAACAAGTTTTGTGCGTTATCGGTCTCAATTCGTGCGTAACTTTAACTATACTTACCTTTAACTATACTGGCATAACTACGAAGTTCACCTCTGGGTTACGAATGACCCAACGTGTGTACAGAGAGTACATTTTTTGTAATTAAAAAATTTTTATTTTTTTCTTTATTTTCAATTCTCGGTTGTATTGCGGATTTTGCGAATTATTAAAAAAGAATTTAACCCTAAAAACAACATATTAGCCCTAATGCGATTTTAATACTCTTATACTAAATGTCGATAATATTATACATATCTATATTATGTTGTTTGTTATGTATAAAGAACATTTTCCTAATAAATGATAAGTTTTTTAATGCAATAGCAATAATAAAATGCATTTTTTAAAATGTAAATGCAATACATCTTCAATTTATAGCCATCCATGCATATTAAAAAAACATCATTTTCAGGTTATTCAATAATTAAACTTTTTGGACAGCCAACACTTGAACTATTTTTTTTCTTGTAGTTTGGAGTGTCAATTTTAAGATATTAAACCATATTTTTCCTTTAAACATTTTTGTTTCAGAATTTTACATTTTTATATGAAACAACGCTTTTTTCTTATTTCGTTAACTATATTTAGTTACAACAATTTATCTACAATTTGTTATGGATATATAACTGCACAAATACTTTCTAAAGATGTCAAAATATATGTAAAAATTGTTTAATAATTATATATACTTGTAAAAATGATGAAAATTAAAATAGAACACACGAATGATTGAATGTGTGTAAAAATCAAAATGATCTTTTCTCAAAGATATTAACAGAAACTTATGCACACATCTTTTTATTTATCTATTTGTTTATTTTGTCTTTTTATTTATACTCTATACATATAGGTTGTTAGGGTATCTTACTAATACCATTTTTCTTAACAATTTCCTTTTGATTTTTGGAAGAAATTATAAAATTTCTTAGAGCCTATTGATAAGTGTCCAAATTATTCCACAGACCAACATATTTACGATTTTTCTACGTAATTCTATTGGCAGACTCTCTAAACTAGGACCCATCAAATTTACTACTAACAATATGTCTGTACGCAAAGGTATGACTAATTTGTCTTTAAACCTGAAAAAATCATTTTGTAAGCAATAATTTATATATTTATTAAATAGGCATAAAAATAGTACAGGTGTAAACTATACAATAGACATATAGGTATAAATAGAATAGTTTAGCAGACTAGTTGCCTGTCAAAAGATTCAAATTTGAGTTCTGGTTCTATTCATTGTATACATATATATGAGAAATTTTTAGTAGCAGAAGAAATTCCATTGAAAAGGAAGGAATGAGTACATTCAAAATTCACAGCTTAAACTTAGTTAACTTGAGATAATAATTGATATTCAGTGAATGGAATATGCACAAAATGGAAGATTTTTAGAATATATTGTAAAAAACTTAAACAAAATTTTTTTAATTTTTATATATATTGTAAATTTTTTTGTGCATATTCAATTTCTCAAATACTGAGACACACACACACACACACAAAGCAAAAACAAGATGATACATTCTAATATTGCATATCAATTGAAATTCAAATAATAAGAGAGAGAGAATACATATAGTACAATAAACAAAATCATATCATTCATACCTATGTGATATCTCTTTGAGATTCATATATCGAAGACACAAATTATTTGTGTATGGATTCACATACTTTAATGTTTGTACAACCATGCTATAAATCTTCATATCTTGTATATGCGACAATATATTAAGAACCAATTTATCGCCACAAGTTATGACAATTAATTTTGATCTAATGTGATCTACATTACGCAATGTCAAATAGATTTCATACACTCCTGTTTCTTGAGACTTCCAATTTTTAGGTATATAAACTAATCTTGTATTTTGCTCCCTGTAAATAACATGCAGATTAACAAATAATCAAAAGCAATAATATATACATATACCTATATATTACCATTTTGGAGTATCAGAAACAGACGAAACGCCAAATCCAGACTCTGCCAACAGAACAAGCAGCAAGGCAACAAGATAATCGTGGTGTTTAGCATTTTCATCCAATTGTTCTAACACTGCCCTCAGTGATAACGCTATTGTAGAAAACGTACTGTCCTCTGCCAATATCGGCTCGGTTATATCGACTGTTCTGTTCAAGGAACGCAATTGTTCCATTTTATTATACAATGACAATAAACTATTGACTAGCGCTTTTTCTCTTTTTTTTCCGTCTGCTTTCTTAACAAAATCAATCCGGTTAAATTGCAATGTGCATTGTTTACGTTCTACTTGCTGCTATATGTTGGACTGCGCATGGTGGAAGAGATACTTCCAGACTTCCACCATGACGTATACCATAGGTTTGTTTTCTGTTGCTGGACTGCTGGATTAGTGTACACTTTTGGAACTTGAAGTGAGATAGGTATATGTTTGATATTTGTTGAAAGTGAGAAAGAGAGTACTAGTGCAGTCTAGTGCAGGTACAGAAAACAGACCACATGCATGGTATAAGGATAAGGGTATGCTCACGCGCATGCGACCAATCAAAATTGTCGAAGTGTGACGTCACACAACAAGCGGTAAATTTAAAACTGCTGTTTCCAACCAACTTATGTTAGCAGCATTCTCGTCAGATATTTTATTTTGATTTAAAGTTTACAGGGAAAAATACGTTTTGAAATAATT